TAGAAACATTTGCGGATGATTTGGTTATAACATTAACCCAACCACATTAATCTAGCAAGGTTTTAATGAATATGATTAATCAATATGGTGAAGTGTCAGGATTTAAAATAAACAGGGAAAACAAAGATACTAGTTACAAATATGAACACTGAACAAAGGGAAGAACTAGAAGGAATGACAGGATGTGAAATAGTTTAAAAGGTCAAATATTTAGGAGTTTATATTTCAACCTCAAATGGGAAGTTATACAAGTATAATTATGAACCACTATGGCGTAGTATACAGACAGAGATGAAAAAATGGGAGAAACTACAGCTATCTTTGCTGGGAAGAATAGCAGCAGTGAAAATGAACATTCTACCTAAATTTTTATTTCTTTTTCAAACGCTACCAAAACTCAAAAAAGATCTGAGCTTGCTAGAATGGCAGAAGGGCATTAATAAATATTTGTAAAGTTTGTTTTTCAAAATTCTCATTTAAAAAAAGAGTACTTTTCATCTACACCTTGTAACTTAAGAGATCTACCAGCTGATCACAATTTGGGTCCTCATTTTACTCACCTCGGAAGGATGGAAGGTTGAGTCAGCCTTGAGCCTGGTGAGATTTAAACTGCCAAATTGCAAACAGCTGGCAATCGGCAGAAGTAGCCTGCAATACTGCATTCTAACCACTGCGCCACCGCGGCTCATCCATATGATCTATCTGCTGAGTTTGGCATTAATTGAAATATTGAAGAAATCTTAAAGAATTGCTCAAGAAAAATTCATTCTAATGGTGTAACCTAGAGGTCACCAGTGCACGGAAAACAGTAGCCAAACAGTCACTGTTGAAGGGTTTACAACTAGCAACAACGTGTTTGAATTATTTGTACTCCTTTTCCTTTTTGGAAGAGGTTCTTATGGATCAGGAAAGCTAACTTTCAGACAAAGCCTTTGTGTAAACATCCCTCCACATTTACAGAGGAGGAGGAGGATAACTTTCAGTCATTACCAGCTTATGATTTTTATCATTTCCACTTATTTTCTTTCTCTAATACCAACATATAGGAACAAATGAGAAAATAAACTCATAATATTCAGTATTCGGTCAGACAGAAATAGAATCGATCTGTCTGGAAACACCTTCCTTTAATAATCCTTTTTTCCCCAGCTAATTTTCTTTACAAAAAGTACCTCACATGATGTTGTAGCTGAGAGTGTGTGTTAGTATCTATGAGCTAAGTGAGCCTTGAACAGCAAGTCTCAGGATTAAGAAAGAGTTCTGTTCCTAACTCTATTCTTAAGTTGAATTTGTATGCAAACTGGAACAGGTTATTTAGTCAAATGTTTGTCTTACTATGTAGTCAGAAAAATACAGGCGCATGACATCACTCGACATGGACAAAAAGAGGACAGCATTCCTCTTTCTCTAGCTGAGGAATTGTTGAAGCCATGCAATGCTTTCAGGAACCATTGAAAACAGGCTGCACAGTATATTAACATACATGCACTATTTTGTGAGACTCATGGAGACATTATGTAGCTTCAGCGATTCATTGATGTGCAGTGGGTGGAGGATGTGTCACCTGCCTTTTCAAGTCAGATCTTATTGCCAGCCGGCCACTCAGCTGCAGTTGCTCCAAACAGTGAGATAGGAAGTATATTAAAGAAATAGGTAAAGAAGTAGGTAAAGAAACAAACAAATAAATAAATTTTGCCATCTTGAGTATTATAGTCAGCCTGTCCATAACTGTTTCTAAGCTGGAGTACTTCCTGTATATATTTCTCTGTTATCATTAGCTCTATGAGGACCACCATTCTGGATGCTCCTCTCTCAATCTTATCTAGTTCTAACTGCATCATGTCACTTCTCAATGGTGATTTTAACCAACTGTCTGAAATCTTTGGTGCCTCCTCAGGGTGTCATACCTCTTGGTGGATGCATCGTAGAAGCCAAAGAAGAATCCAATATGCCTTATGCAATGAAAATCTCTCATGAGGACTTCCATGTAAAGTTTTCTTTTTTTCTTCTTTCTTGTTACATTTAATAGATTTTTAATACTACACAAGTTGCTAATTAGAGAGTAAAGAAGTAAATTGCCCAATAGAAACATGCAGCAGAGATACCCAAGCAATAAAACAGTGCTCCATCATTGGAGGTTTTTAAGAAGAGATTTGTCCAGAATATAGGGCTGTGATGGCAAACCTATGGCAAGTGTGCCGCAGATGGCACCTGGAGCCCTCTCTGCAGGCAAGCCAGCCATCGCCCACCTTGGCTCCACTGTGCATGCGCGTGCGCCTCCCACTGGACAGCTGATTTTTGGGTCTCTGCCATGCATGTGGGAGACACATGCGCATGCGTGGGGAGTCATGTGCGGGGGTCGGGGGGGCAGCCTAGTAGGCTTCAGGGAGGCCTACTAGGCCAAAAATAGTGCACGGGGGAGAAGCACGCACATGCGCAGGGGGGCACAGTGTGCGCACAGGGAGGGTGTTCTACGCACATTGCATTATGGGTTTGGGCATGCATGCTGTCACACACACTTTCGGCATGCGAGGACAAAAAGGTTAGCCATCACTGATATAGGGTATCCTACTTAAACAGGGAGCTTGACTAGAAGACCTTCAAAGTCCCTCCCAACTCTGCTACTTTATTAACCTGATTTCCCTTTGGTAGCTTATTTGCTAACAGACTGGGTGACCTGTGATGTTTTACATGAGTGTAACTGCCAGTAAAGGGAATTGTTAGCTGTGACATTAGGTTTTTCATCTGTTTGTAGACCATCCCTTTCAATCGGTTAAGTTTTGCTACTTCCTTCCAGGAATCAATGCAAATTGTTTTCCCAACATTAACCATTCCCAGTATTACTCTGGGAAAGTCATGCAAGTAAAACCGATGTATGTGTTTGCAAATAGTCTTCTTTTTTATCATCGTTGTTTGTTTTCCTCTTTGATCAGCTGTGTTTACATGCCAGTTTCTCTTGAAGA